CGCATATAGCACCGACCACCCGTACCTGTCGTGACGGTTAGTCTGAAGGCAGCAACGACTACTCGACCAAAGAAATCCACAAGCAGCCAACCCGACAGGCGGTTTACCAGCGGACCCGCTCTGACACAGTGCGGCGACGGAACACCCATGACTGCTTGGCTGTAGAACAACCTGCACCTCGGGCACTGTGGAGCAGAAACCCCTTGCACAGTAGACCTCACACAGCACTTGGGAATGCGACCCAACTAAGGCAGCGGGACAGAGAGCAGAGAAACACCTCACACAGGAGCCGCAAAGGGGCTACCTTGGATGTCTGTACATACGCCCACCAAACGGAGCAAGTCACACACAGAGCCTAAGAGTTGGAATTGACTGACCGCTGATGGGCACAGTAACGCAGCCCCACACCGGACAACAGGAACCGCATCACTTTCTGCAGACTCTGACTCACCGTTGTGGGACTCTCGTCACCCTACAAGAGGATGCAGCATTCACACACTCTGGACTGCCAACACAAGATACCCAATCCCGGGCTCTTGCCAGAGAACACCCAGTGAGAACTCTAGCTTGCAATAACTTGCAATAATGTTTGCTTGCAATAACTGATGTTGTCTTTGCTTATTAGTTTTGTTCGACCGTAGCCATATCAGTTCACTTAATCTAATGCACGATAGGCATAACCTATTGGATATCTGAGGCTAATAATGAGTGCAAGTAAACAGAATGGAGTAAAATTATCTAATATACCTACACTCCCGCAGACAAGCTGACTCCCCTAGGAAAACAGCTGTACTCCCATAGCCTGTAGTACTCAGCAGCCTGGCAGCTTAGCATGATAACTTCCCATTAGAGGAATCTTTACACTATAATGCCTAGATGAATTGCACTGTCAGCTAAGCGCTCTAATGGGTATACTGTTTTTAGTTCATATGTGCCTAAGACCTTCATAATTGTAACTAAGCACGATTTCACTTATTGCTACCTAGCAGGCCCTGAGATGTACAATGATGTTTGTAGCCTGCTGCCTTTAAAAGACACAACTCCATCTTGGAACTCCTCAAGCTCCGTTAAGCTTGTAGATCAGATAATTACACTAGCAGCCAATATGCGTTGCTAAGACAGTTATACCTTGCATGCCAAGTTATCACCTAAACTTTGTGTTCACCTTGTACCATATCATGCTAAGACACGCATGTTTATCTTGATAATCTAACAAAAATGTGCAATGCCTTCAATACCACAATATTGTTCTCTTGTGTTTATCGTTCAGTTTGCTCCTGCTGTTGTGGCAAAGCAAATCCATTTGTTAATCATATGCACAAATAAAATAAAGAATTAAAAAAAAAAATTTGAATGGAATTGTGAAATTGTGGATCAACATTCTCAGGTGTTATCTAGGATGAGATTGATTAGCTAAGCTAAATGCTATAGTTTTAACCACTTATTTGAAAATAAGCAATAACTAATCTTCTAAACTCTAGTTCCCCATCTCTTTTCAAATCTAACTCAACGTCAGCCTTTTGCTCCATTTTATCTCCTTCCATTCAGCTCTTGCCCAGTATTTAACCTTGTGTTTATTTTAGCATTAAGGCCAGAATGATTGACCTGTCTCTGGCCTTTAAGATATTAGGACCAGGAAACGAGGGAACTCGTGTCACAATCATGATTAATTGCCAAGCCATGACATTGGGGAAAGAGTGGGTATGAAAGGGTTAATGATCCTCAGCCTCTGGTCTTGGTAACTTCAGCTAACATTTTGGTTTATGAAAGTAGACATTCCAGGCAGGGACAGACTGACAGCCATTTTGTCCCCCTGGCAAAATTAGGTCCTGGGCCATTTGAAGGCCAATGTATATGTATTAAGTACATTTTAAATATACATTTCACAGAATATTAATACTTGTCTTGCCTAGAGTGTTTATGAATGCATGTTTGCATTTAAACATATTCTATGAATATGGATACATGTGTGTATTTGTAGAATGCCAATATGTGAATTCTAGGATATATTTGAGTGCAGTGAAACTGTGTGTCGATGGAGGAATTATTTTTTTACTGCAAGACTGTATGCATTAAAGTAATGATGTATTTGTGTAATTTTGATATGTATGAAACCCAAAGAATATTTTGTGTAGTGACAGTGAGAATAAAATGCAAGAGGTTATTTGCATGTAGTGTACAGGTATGAAGGACATGTGTTTTCTATTAGAATGTAGTATAGATGTGTGTGAATGCAGGGGGTTATTTATAAGGATTATGGCTTGTAAATACAGAGGTGTATTTGTATTGTATTTGTATGGAATGTATATTTGTAAAGGAAGGGATACAAAATGCATTTGTGTGGAAGAAGCTATGTGCATAAATTAAGTGGATTGTTGGTGTGTGAATGTCTGTGTATGCATGCAGGGATAGAGTGTTTGTGTGTGATTGAGCAGTCAGTGCTAGTGTGTGTGTGTGACTGCAGTAGTCTATTTGTGAGGAGTGTCAATATGTGTGTGAATACAAAAGTATATGCGTGTAGATTATCAGTCTGTGCAAACACAGGAGCAGCGTGCCACCATGTGCGTCACTTCAGTGGTGTGTTTGTATGTAATTTTTTCTTTTTAATGTGATTTTCATTTCATCACATCTCTGACTCTCTATCTTCCCTAATGTGTAATCTCTGTCTCCTCTCTTGTCTTTGTTATCCCTTATGGTCTCTAAATCACCCTTCTTATGATTCCGCATCTCATCCACTTGTGTTTCCCCTATTCTCCCCAATTGTGTCTCTTCCCCATCTCATCCCCAACATGTAACCACATAAACCCGCATATTTCCCAACTCACCCCCATTTGTCTCCACAACCTACCTTTTGCTGCTTTCTGTCCCCCAGGATAGATGTCTGCAGTAAAATCTTGCCGGCTGCTGTTCCCTTTTCTTAGACGCAGTAATTACGCTTGCATGTCACATCCTTTCCCTGCTCTTATCCCACACAGAGCACTTGTGCTGTGCTTGGAGAGAGAAGAGACCTGGCAGGAAGAGCACGGATGCTGCCAGATCATACATAGCGGGTGAAGGAGTTTGGAGAAGCGGATAGCATGATTGGCTGAGGTCCCAACACCGCCAAAGGCCCGCAACTATCACTAGAAGAAAGCATACTAAAGTATGCCAGGCCAGATGGGGAGATATTCCAAACAGATAGATCTAGATTATGGTCAGCTAACTCTAAATAAAGATCTGTTGCCATTATCATTTGAAGTTACAGTGCCACAAAAGAGACTCAACTATTTAAGATTTTACAGCTGAAATTTTGTTGGGTCTCTGTCTTATTTTGGGGTTTTGTAGCAGTTTGACTGTTCAAATGGTGCCAAAAATGCATGATATTAACAAAGTAGACACCACAGATTATGTCTTAATGTATATTTTGAGCTTTATTGCACAGCCATTGTTTACCAATTTCTTTCAATGTTTATGGTATTATTTTATTTTATTATTTTTCTACATGCAAATTGCCATTTACCGGTTTATTTTATTTTTGTGATGCTGTGATAAGAACCACTAAAGAAAACGCTTTACTGATTTCAAAAACAGGAAACCTTTGCTGACATCACAGACAGATTGTCTTGCTAATATTTGCAAGGGATTCCCTCTGCTGCCATCCGCTCTCGGTGCACTGTATTTTATAACTGCAGCACTAGAGGGATTACTCCCGCTAAACTGTTAAATCTTATTGTGACAAATTGTCACGATATGATTTAAATCCTCCCTGCAGCAGAGGTGACTTATTGTGATACGCACTGGGCAACCTGCATTGGCAAACAATCACCATCTACAGCTTGCGATAGCACTGATGGGGGTCTTGCAGAGTACCTCATTTTGGTCTCCTCAGAAACAGCGACTCCACCACACTTGAGGGATTTGTCAGAAATTAAGTCACCAGAGTCGTGACTGAGTCCGGAAGTTCAGTCATGTTAATTCAAAGTGCTGGATGCAGCGATCACTTTGAGTGCTGACTTCATCTTTTTGGTCAATGTGGAACCATTAATTCTGGCCACAGCTGACTGAGGGGTGCCCCAGGTGTCAAATGAAGTATGGAGTCCCCCACTTTTCAGCAGAGAAATTGTCCCTACTGGTAAAATACTGCATGACGAAATTATTCTGTCATAGGTCCTTAAGGATAGGACATCAATGACAAAATGATTCCATCATTTGTCTTTAAGGCGATATAAGGAGAGTTACATTTTATGCCCAGTGCCTCCCTTCTCCAGGTTACAGGGCAGAACAATATCTATCAACCACAATTGACAGGTCCCCATTAGTTTACTGACTGAATGTTCTACAAATATTGAATCTTGTGTACTTCATATATAAATTTACAATAGAATTCAGCATGAAGACATGGTTCTTTAGATACCAAACATGGTTTTATTACTTCCCAGGTGATTCCTTGGGGAAGGAATGGGTAGGGACTGGGCCACTACTCACTAAACGATTGCCTCTACCTTAATCAGAGAGAGGGAGATGTTCAGATATCAACCGATCCCAGTAGGTGTAGGTTTTACTCAAAAATAAAAATAAAATCCTGTTAAAATGAAAAGCTATCTAGTAAATAGCTAATGGCCTTTTCATTTGTATGGTTTGCTTTCAAGCTGTTTTGCACCAGTCAGAAACTCTTCTTTTTTTTCTTTTTTCTTTTTCTGGTGTATGAGCAGAGATACATCAACCAGCAATTCCAGGCTTCTTGTAACTTTGCTGGGTCTGCATAAAAATAAATAATCTACTTAATTGATCTGCTTGTGTCTCAGTACATCTCAGACATTTTCCCTTTGAATTTTTCTTCAAATCCCATGGTGCTTTAAGGTTGGAAGCTGTGGTAAACTAAAAAAAAAGCAACAGGAAAAAAACTTTAGGAAAAGCAACTTAGGAAAAAAAGATGTTATTGAAATAAAATATACAATAGATATAAAGATACAATTTTAAAACATGTTTTAATTGACAATACATTACTTTTACATACTGACAGCATACTTTGTAAATGAGGAAATTTCACAAATGTATTGCACAAAAAGAGAAGACTTTTTCATTTTCTTAAAGGGACACTATAGTCACCAGAACAACCACAGCTTAATATAGTTGTTCTGGTGAGTACAGTCATTCCCTGCAGGCATTTTGTTGTAAACACTGGTTTTCAGAGAAAAGGCAGTGTTTACATTGCTGTCTAGGGACACCTCCAGTGACACCACCATACTGTGCATCACTGACGTTTAGCGTCTCCACGCTCTGCATGGAGACACTGAACTTTCCCCATAGAGATGCATTGATTCAATGCATTTATATGAGGAGATGCTGATTGTCAAGGGTAGCGTTTGGCAATGCCATGATGCTAGACAAGTAAGCAAATCGGGGTAGGGCCACATAGGGTTTCATGACAACTAGCCAATTCCTAGTGAAGACTGGTGGTCTGTCCTGGAAGATCCCTCTATACAAGCTGAGAAAATCACTGAGAAGTCCCCAGGCATTAAGGCAGGCAGGCACTCCATGCTGTCCAGTTTAGACAATGTCAATATCAAGATCTGTCCTGATGCGTGATCAAGGTAGAAAGTGGCAACAATGCACCCTGCTGGGTTAAGATCCGCTTCACCTTCTATAGTCGTTGTCGTTGTAGGGGGGCACATCCCTTAGCAACCAGCCTTCTGGAAAGTAACAGAGGCTGTGGCTTGAGCCTAGTTACACAGAACAATAGGCCCACAACTGTCTCTGGCACAACTCGAGCCGCAGAGGCCTTTGACACGGTGCGTCTTCCCAAGGCCTCTGCTTGCGCCAATTAAGTGGATGCACTCACCCCAGCAGCCTGTCGGAGCTTCAATCATTCCCAGAATGCGGAGCACAGAAGGTTGAATGCACCCAGGAATTCTCCATGTTGCTGTATAGGCTCTTCATGGGTCTACAAATGTCACCATCTTAGATAGTAAAAGAGTGAGCACACATTAGGCTGGTAACAAAGTTTCAATCTATAATCACTAGTGATGATTGCCAGCATAAACCACACCATTAGGTGGGGGCATATGAGATTGTCATAGGGTTCAAGGAAAACTATGGGTGGAGAGATCAGCTGCATCACTCGCACCTGTGGCACCAAGAAGGTCTTAAAGGAACACTATAGTCACCTGAATTACTTTAGCTAAATAAAGCAGTTTTAGTGTATAGATCATTCCCCTGCAATTTCACTGCTCAATTCACTGTCATTTAGGAGTTAAATCACTTTGTTTCTGTTTATCTAGCCCTAGCTACACCTCCCCTGGCTATGATTGACAGAGCCTGCATGAAAAAACAAACTGGTTTCACTTTCAAACAGATGTAATTTACCTTAAATAATTGTATCTCAAGCTCTAAATTGAACTTTAATCACATACAGCAGGCTCTTGCAGGGTCTAGCAAGCTATTAACATAGCAGGGGATAAGAAAATCTTAATTAAACAGAACTTGCAATAAAGAAAGCATAAATAGGGCTCTCTTTACAGGAAGTGTTTATGGAAGGCTGTGCAAGTCACATGCAGGTAGGTGTGACTAGGGTTCATAAACAAAGGGATTTAACTCCTAAATGACAGAGGATTGAGCAGTAAGGCTGCAGGGGCATGTTCTATACACCAAAACTGCTTCATTAAGCTAAAGTTGTTCAGGTGACTATAGTGTCCCTTTAATTTGCCCAGGCCAAAATCTGAATATATCACTTGTTAGGGGCTCTAAGATGCTTGTACCTTGAGCTCTCCGGTTTCAGAGGGTCAGGATTAACTGTTATGCCGGACATGTTGATAATTAGACCTGAAAAGGTATAACATTCAGCTTTTCTATTCAGAGCTCAAGCATAGTGTGACTGATTCGCATGGCAGCCAGGCTCCACCACTGTATCAACACTCTCTTGATGGTACTTGTTTGGAGAAGACATCGGTATACTGCAATCAGAAAGAGTAATGATAATGTGAGATCATGCATGAGTACAGCACAGCTGTTTAACTGATTCTTCCCTACAGTCAGCACTGAGTGATCACAACATTTTTAAAAGCAATGGGATATTTCCATCATTAAATCTGGTAGAATTTCCTTTGCACAGCTGGTGAGAAGGCTTAATGCATTCACACTTCCCATATTTTACTCATTCCTAATACCTTAAAAATATAGCTCTCACTAATTCATCCCCGGCTTGCATGATAAGCCTTAAGAGAAAAGTGCTTTGCCTTAATGCAGTAGCTCAGCAATCATATCTAACAAAAGTCCCCCTCCCTTGAAATTTTAGTTTACAGAGCATTGCAGACATGTCATATACTGGGTTGAATATGAATTATTACATAATAAATTCATTTTATGGCCTGCCACAGCTCCTGAGAAAAAAAAAGGATTTGATTACACAAAAAAAGTGAGTGCAAGACTAATTTTACAATTTAAGTTCATACAACACCACAATATATTAAAGTCTAAAGAAAAAGATAGAAATGCATTGTGCAATAGAGGCACTTACATAATAATATAACATCAATAGGTAAAATAGCAGTTACGAGTGTAAGTATCAGGGCCGGTGGGGCGTCGGCACCTGGGGCCGGACAGAGAGCTGGCTGACCTGCGGAGCTGGCTCCTGGCTGTTCCCGCGGCCGCAGGGGGGGAGCTGGCTTGCCAGCTCCCACCCTGCGGCCGCCGGAACGGCCAGCTCTCCTTGCGGCCACCAGCACACCTGATGGGGCTGTCTGCCCTGCAAGACTCCTGTCCTGTCGCCCACAGGTAGCTATATTATGTGTCAGTCTGTGTCTGTGTCATGGTGTGTGTGTGTCATGGTTTGTGTCATGATGTGTGTGTGTCTGTGTGTCATTGTCTGTGTGTCTGTGTCATGGTGTGTGTGTCTGTGTCATGGTCTGTCTGTGTCATGGTATGTGTGTGAGTCTGTCATGGTATGTGTGTGTGTCTGTCATGGTATGTGTGTGTGTGTCTGTCTGTCATTGTGTGTGTGTCTGTCTATCATTGTGTGTGTGTGTGTCTGTCATGGTGTGTATGTGTCTATCATGGTGTGTGTCTGTCAAGACGTGTGTGTCTGTCAATCATTGTGTGTGTGTGTCTGTCTATCATTGTGTGTGTGTGTGTGTGTGAGTGTGTCTGTCATGAAATGTGTGTCTGTCAAGGTGTGTGTGTGTCTGTCAAGGTGTGTGTGTGTGTGTGTCAAGGTGTGTCTGTCAAGGTGTGTGTGTCTGTCATGGAATGTGTGTTTCTGTGTCTGTCAAGGTGTGTGTGTGTGTCTGTCATGGTGTGTGTGTGTGTGTGTCTGTCAAGATGTGTGTGTCTGTTAAGACATGTGTGTCTGTTAAGACATGTGTTTGTCTGTCATGGTATGTGTGTGTCTGTCAAGACATGTGTGTCTATCATGGTATGTGTGTCTGTCATGGAGTGTGTGTGTCTGTCATCTGTCGTGGTATATGTGTGTGTCTGTGTCTATCATGGTGTATGTGTGTGTCAGTGTGTGTTTAAAAATAGTGTTTTTACTCACTTTTTTTTTTTTCCACGCCGTGCTGCGGGGCTGGCATAGATTTTTTTCCAGGGCTGCTTTGTATCCCCAGTCCGGCCCTGGTAAGTATGTGACGGTAGTCACCATCACTTGGAGCAGAAGGACACTTTACAAAGGTTCCTAATTTGTTCCTATGTCTAAGTCACCCTGTACCCATTATATGTGCAGGGTGTTTATAATGTGTTTGTATATTGTTAATTGTTTTGTGTGCTCTCTTGTCCTGCTGATGCTTGTTACCAGCTAGTGGATTTAGCTATGAAGCCTGTAAAGCGCCTTCTGTTGGTAGCAACAGCAATATGCACTACCAAGGCTGGTTAATTTGCATATTGCTAATTCTACAGGCAGGAGAGATATTTTGTGTTGGTTATTGACTTCCCCACCCCTTTCTAGGAATGTTATTGTGTTATTATAATTCCCTGTATGTTTCTGATATGTTTTGATTATTTGTATTCTTATTGAAATGTCACCGTAAGGAGCATTTGGGCTGCATGATCCCCCTAGCCCTGGAATAAATCAAGAGAGCTAGGCTTGAGAGCCGCAAGTGCCTTTGTAAGGGCAGTAGAAATCACATTGCAGGCAGAGTTGAATACCTGCCTGGAAGAAGGGCTGCAGCGGTATAGGTAGAGGGGATGGTACCTGCCTGGCAGAAAGAATTCAGCGGAATAGGCAGAGGGGACGATACCTGCCTGGAAGAAAGGCTGCAGCAGTATAGGCAGAGGGGATGGTACCTGCCTGGAAGAAAGAATGCAGCGGAATAGGCAGAGGGGACGATAACTGCCTGGAAGAAGGGCTGCAGCGGAAAAGCAGAGGGGATGATACCTGCCTGGAAGGAGAGCTACAGTCTAGTCGGGTGGAAAAGCTCCAGAAGGAGACGGCAAAGGAGCAGCAGGTTCCCCGGTTCCAGCTAGGAAGCAATCCAGGTCGGAGGTACCCAGCCGGGGTACAGGGAGTTCCGCTACAAAGTACTTTAACGTAACACATAATCATGCAAATAAATAGAGTTTACCCAGTGGAATCTACCCACTACAAGTAAACCCAGTGGAGCGCTAGAAAGTGTATCCACATTTACCTTCCTAAATGGAGAGAAAGATCTGGTATTATAGAAGTATGCCTAAAAAAGGAGGAGGCAAAATATGGTGTAGTATATCTAGACTTTAGTGTTATATATATGTTATAGAACCCTACAAGGACAGGCTCAGAACTCATTAGCAGGGGTATATTAGGTAATACCAGGACCTCTTCTTATTCTTTAACCCAAGAATCTCTTTAGTTGAGAATCTTGGGTTAAAAAATAAGAAAAGGTTCTGGTATTACCTAATATACCTCTGCTAACAAGATTTGTAGGGCTCTATACCTGTCATTTCAGGCTAGGAACATCTCTAGTGGCAGTCACTCAGGCCGCCTCTAGAGGTGCTTCCTTGGTCAGTGCTGCACAATATGCAGGAGTGACATTTAGCGTCTGTCATAAAGATGCATTGATTCAATGGGACAGCATTGGATTGGCTGAGAACATGAAATTAGATCATCTCAACCAAGGAGGTGAAGCTGAGAGACATGCACAGAGCTGGAAAAATGTGAGTAAATCACATTTTTAACGGGGGAAAAGAGGGGCCAGATGCAATTTTAAACCAAAAGTTCAGGAATACATATTTGCATTCCAGACACTAGTGTTCCTTTCAGAAAAATAAGCTGTAAACAAAATTACACAATTGATAATGAAAACACTGCTTGCATGACAGCAAAAAGTGCAGTAAAGTAAGAGAGACGGCAATATCCAACAGTGACAATTCATAGCATGAGACAATATTGTGAACTAAAAACACATGTAATGAGAAAGTAATGAGAAAAATTTGAAAAAGAATGCACTTTTTAAACATAACCAAAGAACCATGGTGACGTACTGTGACAGTGAATATATTTGATCCTGTGAACCCTATTTGTACCAGTTATTAAAGGACCACTATAGTGCCAGGAAAACAAACTAATTTTCTTGGCACTATAGTGTTAATAGGTCCCCCCCACCCTCATGGCCCCCCTCCCGCCGGGCTCAAGAGGGGTTAAGGGGTTAAACACGTACCTTTCTCCAGTGCCAGTGCTGGGGACTCTCCTCCCTCTTCCGATGTCATTTGCGGAATGCACATGCGCAGCAAGAGCCACGCGTGCATTCAGTCAGTCCATAGGAAAGCATTTCTCAATGCTTTCCTATGGAGGCTGGCGTCTTCTCACTGTGAAAATCACAGTGAGAAGTGCGGAAGCGCCTCTAGCGGCTGTCAATGAGACAGCCACCAGAGGCTGGATTAACTCAAATGTAAACATAGCAGTTTCAGGGTTAACCCTAGATGGACCTGGCACCCAGACCACTTCATTAAGCTGAAGTGGTCTGGGTGCCTATAGTGGTCCTGTAACAGCCCTGAAAGTGCATATATCATTTCTTTGCTTCCTACTTTCTAATTTTATTCCCTTTTTCTGTTTGATTTATTTCATTGACTACTCTTGTGAGTTAAATTCTTATCTGGGCACTGGGGTTTAATGTGTAATCTGATTTTAACTGATGACACTCATGTGATAAGTTCTTCTTCAGTGGTGTAGTGCATGAAGTAAGTTATTCTATTAACACTTAAGTTATTTAATGTTTTTATTATTATTATTATTATTACTTATGTTCTCAGGACTTTTAACTGACTTACAGTTTATATGTCATCTGACTGCATTTAATAACTCCTGTATAAGGAAAAGTATAATTAGACTGCCACTCTTGCTATAAACCCCTTTCCATGACAGCTAACACAGTAAAAATCTTTCCAGTGATTATTCTACAAATGACTGTCCCAAAGGACAAATCCCATGTGTGAAAGAAAATAATATTATGATAATCTCAGTCTCGGAAAGCTTTCTGCTATGGAGATAGCACTGCAAACAGATAATTTTATTGATGAAAGGCTCATGACGAGTTAGAAAATGAGTTAAAGGAACACTGTAAGGTGAAGCATCTTTTACACAATCAGTATGTACTTCATTATTGATTGTCTGTTTAACAGAATGTTGGTGATGTGCTTTGGTTTTCATTTCAAAAAAGTGGTATATAAATATGAATAAACTGATTGCACTGATGCGAAGTTGAAAAATTGGAAATTGTAAAAAAGTCTGGTTGTTTAACGGTTTAACTTTTCTAAGGTGAAGAAAACCTTAAAACCCCAGTGCGGTTACAGTCCCGAATTGTGAGCCATGGGATTACTACACTAAGAAGAGTTTGTCATAGTCTTTCATAACAGTGGGGGTCGCAGAGTTCTTTGATCTTTCTGTGTCAAGTAAAATAATGTAGCCTGTGTGTTTTGCACTGGCATTGTTCCAAAAAGAGCATGAATCTCATTATCCAGTTGGTACCATGCCATGCTGTCTCTGCCA